AATATAAGTTATTAGGAAAAACTCAAAAACTATTGGTCTGACCTTGATTAAATTCATATGGGACCACACGAGAAGTAACAGCTTTCAAATAAAAAATAATCGTCGAAATCGGTTCACAAAAAAACATACAGTCGAATTGAGTACCGTCTCCTTTTTGGAAGTCGGCAGATAAAAATAGATAACGATCGGAATATTAAGGCAACCAAGAAGCAAACTTATCTCTACGTGTATACAGCCTTTTCTCTTTGGATATTGCTATCGTTATGTTATCGTGGATGTTCTAGTACTTTCTAGTTGAAAGAGTAGAATGGCCTGGATTGGCCTAGAAAGTTCTATATTCATTTTATCGAGTATAAAAGCGTATGCTGGGAGAGAGAATGAGCAGAGAATCAATTACTTCGGGAATGCCAAGTGAACTCTACTTCGGGAAGAATTTACGAGAAATTGACCTACGACATCTGTGATTATTAAGGACCTTACCGAAGAAGCGTAGCTTAGCTTACACTTGCTGTGTTTGGAAAAAATCATCTAATTTTCATCTTAATTGGCATTTTTACTCACTCCGCACGTAACACTATGAAAACTATGATGTAGTTTCTCATAGGCCTATGCTAGGTATCTGTCGGTACGCAGATGGCAGCACAGTTGTAGGGAGACATTAGCTTCGTGCTAAGACCAGTCAAGATCAAATTTAGTCCGAAAGAGAGCGTCACGAGAGTCACGAGAGTTTCACTCACTGTATGCAGCCTCGGAAAGGGGCGATGCTAATCTTGTGAGATTCAACGCTTCCAAAATAAAAGCATGTCTTCACTGCAAAAAGGATTCATCTCACCTTCACTTCTTCTCCAGTTACTTAGCGTTGAGATTTCTTCGAAAATGAACTTTAGGAGATTCATTGAGGCCAAAACCAAAGCAGCGGCTAGAAAGTTAGATGTCGTTGCAAAGGTACCGCGATATTTATCCTCGCGATAGATTATATAAAGCGCAAGGCCGGTCGTGCGTTGAGTGCGTTTATTTTTGCTATTCGCTTTTAACTGTTTTTTCTTCCTTGTGTCGTAACTTCTGTGCTACGCTTTACGCTAAATTATAAAATTACTTAGTAATAACTTAAACTTAAAGATCTATAAAAGATTGCTGATCATTTTCGAGATACATCAAATTCATCAGATTTGTTAGATCACAAATACTCTCGATGAAACATCGATTCCTACCAATATACTCGTATATCTGTATGGGACTGCAGTGGACTGTATGATTTTATTAAATAACTGATGTTATTTTACTGTGTGACGACTGATTCTATGTAGGGTAAACTATACTAGGGACGGTTGAAGAAAAGATGGTACTGTAGACGATTATATATTCCAATTATTTACAAGCGGCTTTTCACTAATTAACTATGTACACAGAAGGGAATCTTCAATGGAGTATTAATTAGCTCTTCTCTTTTGATTTCTGTCTTGAGGTTTTCTTTCTTGCTGTTGTATCCTCGAGTGGCGCTTCGGAAATGAACCGCCAAAAATGAACAGCTCACAGCCCAAAACGCCCTTCTTATATTCTCAAAAAGAGTATCTCGGCACGTAAGTGGTATTATAAGATGTGCCGCGCGCTGATTGGTCAGCGACATCGCGTGATCTTCGGGCGGTGTGCGGGGTGCGCGGGGCGCAACGTGGTATGAAGGGGCGACGGGGCGGCGGCTCTCTTTGCCATCCGTAACATCCTCTCCCCGGCGTAGCAAGCAAGCCTAATCTTCTCTCGGGAGGACGATCTTCCTTACTGGTCGTCGCAGCAGCAAACTGGGACAAGGAGTAGATTAAATAACTTGTAGAGAGTCAACAAAGTGCACGCGGGAAAGAGGCCTGAGCAAGTACCGCGTGCATCTCTCGTGATTCGGCCCGTATAACCGCAAGGTTGGTGGGGCCATGGGAGGTGGAGGGTTGGTCGTCGCAGCACTCCGCCCCTGGTCCGGATCTCGACGTTGCGCACCACGCCGTCAGGTCCGGGAAACGTCCTCGTGACGATCCCCCGATTTCCTGTCGCTAGGCGTCCCGGAAAGGTTTTTTTTTATAGGATCGAGTGACAAACGAGCACACAGTCCACCTGATGGTAAGTGGTTGCTGTGGCCCATAGACATCTACATTTATCTTCGTTTGCGAATCAAAACGCAGATGCGTTGTCACCTGTGAGGACTAAGATGGAATGCCTCTTTTCCAGTAAAAAGGGTCTCTGGTTCTCTACACTCAACATACGAAACACAGCAGTGTTAAACTGCTATTTGACGCTGGTATTCTGTGAGAGTGTGGTCCTTCCCCGGTCGAGCCGACCCATTCGTGCTACAACCATAATATAGCTGCAGCATGGCTCTACCACGTAATAAGTTCCCCGCGCGACCAGCGTCGGCAGGTACTCCCTTACCCAGCGCCTCCAGTATTCATCGGCGAGCCCCTGCGCCGCTCTCCACGCCCGACGATCGACGGGTGAGCACGGCGCGGTGATTGGTAGGCCTGACGGTCCCAACAGAATGAAGTGATTGGGTGTTAATGCCTCTTCTTCATTGATGTCGACCGGTACATGAGTCGATGGTCGAGAGTTGACGGTGTTATCTGCTTCCGTTAAGAGCGTTGCTAGAGTCTCCTCCCTTAGGCTCTTCTGATGTAGAGTGGCTTCCAGCGCTGTCTTCACCGAACGCACGAGACACTCCCATGCGCCTCCCTGGTTAGGCGCGCCCGGTGCGATGAACTTCCATTCCGTGCGTCGAGTCAATGCGTAGTCCTTCAGCTGCGGCGCTCACTCTTTCATCGCCAGTTGTAGATCTGCATCTGCTCCGTGAAAATTAGTGCCGTTATCTGAGTATATGACCCGTGGCCACCCGCGCCTAGTCGCCATGCGCCGCAATGCCGATATCGCCGAGTCTGTCGTTAGGAAGTAAACTAGCTCTAGATGAACCGGGCGCGTCGTTAAACACGTAAACAGTGCTACCCACCGCTTTTCGTGCCGTTGTCCTATTGTAACTAACAAAGGCCCGAAATAGTCGACTCCGGTGTACGTAAACGGTCGCGCAAACGACCCTAACCGTTCGGGTGGTAGATCTCCTGTAACCGCTGGCCGTGGTGTTGCCTTGTCTACTCTGCATCACAGACATCTCCGCTCCACTTTTCCTACGGTCGGTCGTAGTTGGAGGATATGATATCTGGTGCGTAGGTCGTTGACCACTCTCTCCCTGTTGGCGTGGCTTGCCTCCTGGTGCGTCTTATCTATGAGCAGCTTTACGAATCGGTGGCATCCATTCAGTATGACGGGTCGCTTCATGTGTTCGTCCACGTCGGCTGCATTGATCCTTCCTCTGGCTCGTAGTATTCCGTCTTTCAGTATGGGGTCGAGCTTCCTCAGAGCGCTGCCGGTGGCTAGATTCTTCCCTTGCCGAAGTCGTCTGATATCTTCAGCGAAGCTGTCGAGTTGACTGCGTTCTACCCACATCCGTTCTGCCCTCTGGATGTGCTCTAACGTTAATCCTTGTGCCCTTCCTCGTATGGCATCAATGAACTGCAGTACTCGTGCTTTAGCCCTGATCAGTCTCTCGTAAGAAGAGAAGCGTTCTATGTCTGGCAGGTGTGGAGCATCCTTGGTGTCGCGCTGGTGCGCCGCGATTTCCTCCAACTCTTCATCATCCCCTGCCCTCGCTTCTTCTCGGTGAGGCCATCTGTCTTCTTCTTCGTAGAGAAATGACGGTCCTGTGAACCATTGGTCGCTTTCTCACTTGCTCACGAAGTTCACGCGCGTCGCTTGATCCGCTGCGTTATGAGCCGTTGGTATCCATCTCCATTGCTCGGGTGATGTCTTCTCGGCTATCTCCCCTAATTGATGAGCTACGCATGGAGTGTAACGCGCCGTATCGTTCTGTATCTAGTGGAGCGCCGTAGTAGAGTGGAGCATCTCGGCAGTCGTGAAAACTTCTTAACCGGACTGGCGAGCGCCTGGATGTCTTCATCTGATCGTCCGCTGGTGCTTGACAAGTGTCTGTGCAAGACCGTCTCGCTGTCATGCCTACACGTTCCACGCGGCGCGGTCCCTTGAATTACCCACCCTAATAACATCCTTGCAGCTATGGGATGCCTCTGTGATTATTAAATGCCAGTTGTCAGCGCCTAATAATATTCTCGGCTTCGCGTCGTCGTAACATACCGCAGTCGGTAAGTCACGTAAGTGCTTCAACCGCAAGCACCCACAGACTGCGAGCCTATTTTTAAATCAGCGATCGTTCGCACGCTTACATTATAAATCTCACTGCGCGTCTTGCCACGTATTCCTATGTTCACTAATCTACTATTGACCTCGCGTTGACTATTATTTACGCCTCTAATATTGAGCGGCTTTGTCGGTCCTTCGGTGGAGCCTTCGTCTAGTAGCGCATATGAATCTACTTCCTTACCACGCGGTCCGCGCACGGTAATGGGGCATACTTTCAATAATACCGACGCACGGTTTCGTCCGGTTTTACCGACGTTTCAGGCGTCCGGGCCTTGCGGGCGCAAAGGAGGGTATGGTGGGGGGCGTTGCAGACGTCGACGCCGCACTTCCTAGCCTTACACCTAAGGCGTCGGTGTTTGCAGCTTAAACACCTAAAACACGCCCCATCTTCCCTTACCCACTTCCACCGGTCGTCCAGACCCATTCGTGCCAGCTTCTTACATTTGGCGATTGGGTGTTCACCACCACAACACAAACACGGGACACTTCCGTTGTCTTGCTGGGTGGTGAACGTCTTTACGTCGCGGGCACTATCCTCTACGCGGCGTGTCAACACTGTCCTTGTCGACGGCGGTGCTTCCCGTCTTATGGGCGATTCCTTAATCGCTTAATCGGCGTTACGGACGTATAGGCGTGACTTAACGCACGGTCAGCCTCTCTCATCATAAACTGGATAGTGTGACAATGTCCGGTTCGTTCGCACTTCCGTAGTGCTCCAACTTCTTAATCGCACCAACGCGATACAGTCGCATCTAAGGGCTAAGCTTACTCATGACCTCCCTAGTTAGCATCGGATTTTGTAAGTATCCCTTGCCGTCGACGTTCTTCATTATGCATACTATATTTTGCAACTTAATAGCGAACGAATTTAATTCCTGGGCGGTTTGACTCGAGCGCTGAAGGCGTTTTAAATCATCTAACGCACGATCAATAATTATTACTTCCGGGCGGCTGAAACACTACTCCAGTGTCCGCATAATGTCTGCTGGATCCTTTGCGGTAAACAGCAGCGCCGATACTACCTCTCTAGCCTCACCGCGTAAACAGTTCCTTAATCTTGCCATATTTTCCGTATCCGTGAATCCATATAAACGCGTGGATTCTTTCATCCCGGCTTTAAACGCTAACCATTCCGCAGCCGAGCCGTTGAAAATAGGCAACTCCTGTGTCTGCTTCGCGGCGGCTGGTCTAAATCTTATAATGCTTTCTAAAGCTTCCGCTAGTCGTTCTTATACCCCTGTCTTTCCCTCTCGGGGTGAGCGACCTACCTCTATCCCTATTACCCTCTGATCTACGATGTGGCGATGGCGACCTACGTACACCTACATCAGGGTGACACGGCGACGGTAATCTACGATCCGCGTGGCGATGTGACGATCTATCTATACCTACATCATGGCGACACGGCGACGGTAATCTACGATCCGCGTGGCGATGTGACGATGGCGTTCTACGTATAGGCGATAGAGTGCGGCGTTGGACGCGCGACGGCGACTTAACCTGTACACGGCGATTCACCTGGTTCATTTCTACGGCGACTCCATTGTCCCTCTGTCGTATCTATGTGATGTGGTTGATCGTTATTCGCAACCGACCTCCCCTGGGCATCTTCAACGTACACGTAACCTGTTCCCCTATTCAACGGGGCCTTTTTTTTTACGGGGGGAAATCCTCATGGACTACCTCCGCCTGGGGAAAGGCGGAGGGGCGTGCCGGACTCTTACCGGCTAAAACCACCCCGGTGGCTTCTCACACGTGCGCGTGGGGCCGCGGGAATCCAAATTATTCCGCAGCCCCACACTAGTGCTGCCCCGGTCTGTCTAGGCCTCGTCTCCTGCACGGGGTAGTGAGGTGTTTAACTACCCCGTGTATCGCCTAAGGAGCGCGCGCCGACACCCGACGCCTCCGCCTCGGGTCCATCGAGTAGGGGTGGCGGGGGCTTCCCCAAGTCCCTCGCCCCTGGACCCATTTATGGGGGCTGGAAAAGGGCGTTGTCTGCCCTTCTCCTGCGCCCGGTGCGCCTTCTGCGGCCAGGGAAGGGAGTCGAGATCTCCCTTTCCCGTTCCGCAGTTTCCTTCTGCGACATCACGTCCTCGCAGAAGGACTCTGCGCTACCGAGCATCTTTCGCACTAAGGCCGGCGGCGACAGATCGCCTCCTACTTTATTTGTGAGGACACGGCGCTGCTCCTCCCAAGCTACACACTCGGCGAGCGTGTGTTGCGCCGTGTCCTCCCCGCAATGGACGCAGTGGTGGCACCGAGCGTCCGGCTCCCTGTCTATGCGGAGCAGGTACTTGCCGAAGCAGCCATGCCCCGACAGCACTTGCGTCACCCTAAACGACAGGGAGCCGTGCCTTCTCCCGAGCCAGTCGTCGAGTACTGGCCGGATCGCCTCGACGGTAGCGAGGCCGGCGGTAGGGCGCAGAAGCCTTTGCCGCCATTCCGCCACCAAGACCTGACGGAGCTCCTCTCGGCGCAGCGCGATCTGCCGCTGCACCGGCCTCGAGCACCGTGCCCGCTCTTCCTCGCGCCATCGATATAATGACGCGAGTACTTTCGCCTCTAGGTCCCAGGGCGGGGATCCGGCTAGGACGCAAGCCGCCTCGTAGGAAATCGTGCGATACCCGCGGACGACTCTGACGGCCATCGCCCTCTGCGGTTTACGCAGAATGGCGAGAGTGCTGGCCGCAATGTCCATCGCCCACACAGGGGCCCCATACAGGGCCATGGATCGCACGATTCCCACGTACAACCGCCTACAGGCGGCGCTCGGGCCCCCCAAGTTGGGAAGCAACGTTGATAGCGCGCCCGCTGCACCCATCAGCTTGGGTGCCAGCCGCCGGAAGTGGGGTCCAAATTCCCATCGGCTGTCGAGCACCAATCCCAGATACTTCATGGTGGACTCGACAGCTATCCGGGCCCCGCTGACCACGATGTGTGAACCCGGCGGCGGCGCGCGTCGAGAGCCATGGAACACCATGGCCTCCGACTTGTTTAGGGCCATCTCCAGGCCCGGGCGCCGGATGCGGTTCACCACTTGTGACATCGCAGCCGTGGCAACCAACGCTGCTTCCCTGTGCGAACTCCCGCGGGCAGTGACGAGCGTGTCGTCCGCATAACACGTCAAGTCGGCGCCCGACGGGAGTTCACCTCTCAGCACCCAGTCGTAGCCGATGTTCCACAGGAGCGGTCCCAAGACCGATCTCTGCGGAACACCGCACGACATGACGCGCCGACCAGCGCCGTCACGTCGCCAATAGGTAACGCATCTCTCCTCAAGGTAAGCCCCTATTGTGCGGCGGAGGTAGGGAGGCACGCGATGGTAATTCAGTGCCTCCCGAATACAACTCCAGGGTAGGGTGTTGAAGGCGTTGGAGATATCTAAGGACACCGCCAGCACCACCCCACCCCGGGATACTGTCTCCTCCGCCAGGGCCCTCACGCGCGTAATAGCGTCTATGGTGGAGCGCCCACGACGAAAACCAAACTGGTTGTCATCCAGGTCCGGCCCCTCTCTGCACAAGTGGCTGACGAGGCGATCTGCGATGATACGCTCAAAAAGTTTGCCCGCCTCGTCGAGCATCACTAGGGGCCGGTACGCGGACGGTGAGTCCGCGGGGCGCCCCTCCTTCCTGAGCAGGACCAGCCTGCCCTCCTTCCACACACTGGCAAACTGACCCTGCTCGAGACATGCCGTGAAGAGCCCCCTCAGCTGGGGCTCTAGCTCCTTCAGAGCCAGGACGAGAGCTCGACCAGGAACTCCGTCGGGTCCGGGCGCTGTGTTCTTAGCCCGGAGTCGCGACACGGCCACTCTCGTCTCTGTTTGCGTCACCTCGGGGACATCGGTGCTCTCCTTTTCTGGAGAGTCTGTGGCTGAGGGCGAAGCCATCGCCGGGGGAACGTGTCCCACTCGCTCAGGGAAGAGAGTCGGTAACACCGCCTCTAGCAACTGGGGTTGCATCCTTTGTGTTAGTGGAGGCGCCCAGGGATGCAACTTGCCCCGTATCCAACGGTAGGGACGCCCCCACGGATCCCGATCTAGGGACCCCAGCAGCTCCTCCCTGGCACGCGACTTTGAGTCGCCGATGGCCAGCCACAGAGTCTCCTTAGACGCGCGGTACACCTCATACAGCGCGTCCTCCTCGGCGGAATCCCGTCGACGCCGCCTCCGGTATCGGGTGTACCGGCAACGAGCCGCAACGCACGCTATGCGCAATTGCGCGATTTCGGCGGTCCACCAGTACACCTGGCGCTTTGCGGACCGTTGGCGGACACGGGGCATGGACGCGTCGCAGATCTGCGTCATCGCCCCGCGAAACCATAGCGCCACCGCTTCGACGTCGACGGGGCCGTCCGTCGTCGACTCCCAGATCCAGGACTGGACTAGGGCAGCTTCCTCAAGTAGTTCCCTGTCGATGCGCTTAAGCGCCCAACGCGGGCCGTCGTTAATCGGTTGTCTTCTGTTGGTCTTCTGGGATTATCTCAACCTGCCAGTACCCGCTTTTCAAATCAACCATCGAAAACCACTTAACACCACTAAGCATATACAGCGTGACATCTATTCATAGTAAAGGATACCTGTCTTTTTTAGTCACACTGTTCAGCATTCGGTAATATACGCAGAACCAAATGAATCACTCTTGATGGCCAGGGAGTTGTAGATGATTGAATGACCATTTTTCAGCCCTATCCTTTAACATCTCTACGATTTTAGGCTCCTTTGCCCATGGGATCCGGCGAGATCTTTGCTTTATATGTCTTGCATCACCAGTATCTATTTTATACTTTACCAGTCCGGTCCTACCACAATCACTATCGGTGGTGAAAATATCTTTAAACTTCATTAAAAGACTTTTTGCTTTCGACATCTAAGTTGAATTAATATTCTTAATTGCAAGGTTATGTGCTATGGTGATGACACCGCACTTACTTTTTACGGTCAATAATGGGAAGAAGTTTATTCTTTTGCACAAACTGGTCTTAATACGGTTCAACAATGGCTTGTTCACATTACTTACCATTAAATGCAACTAAAACTAAATACATTACCTTTTGTATTAGCACACCAGCATTAAAAGGCCCAGAGAACTTAAACTTATATATTCATGATTGTTGTATACCACATCTTAGCTACTGTACGTGTCGCTCTCTTAAAATGCCACGATCACAAAATACTTAGGTGTTATGATAGACCACAGACTCTTTCAAAAGCCATATAAATCACATTTCGTCTAGAGTTCGTAAACTTACATACATTTTTAAGCAGCTTCGTCATCTTGCTGATACCAGTGTCATAAAATTTGATTATACTGCCTTATTAACTATAGCATTACGTCTTGGGGTGGTGCAGCGAAAGCCCACATGATTAGGGTAGACCGTGGACAAAGGCTTACACTTAAAATATCTTATATAAATACAGATTATTTTCAACAAACGACCTTTACAAATTCTGTGACTTGTTCACCGTACGTCAGCTCTATATTCTTGCGACAGTATTATTAAATCATTCAAAAACGGAATATTAAACATCCAATCATATATTAAGCAAAAGATTTCCTCATCTTGTATTCATAATACCTGTTACCAAATTATAATTTGCTCTAAGATTTTTCAATTACTGATATCCACTCCTAAATAAACTTGCCAACAAATTATTAAATATACTCGTGACGTTAACTAAGATATGTAGAGCCAAATATTTACTTGATCAAATGGCTTAACTCATTAGACTACAAACAGACAGAAAAACTATTTGAACGTATTGTGTAAATGTCTATTACACACTTATATACTACACACCATACACATACACAACTTACATTAAAACGCATACTACACCTACCTACCTTTACTAGTATTTAACTACAAGTTGCTGTACTGTTTTTACGTGTTTTATAGCAATATCACTTCTATTGAGGGAGGGGTTTGGTGATTATATAGCACAGGGCAAACTAGTTTGGGCACCAGTCTCCCACCTAGATCTTCCTATATAAATATATATAATAAAAAAAACTTAATTCAAAATCTATGTATATAAATTGCGACCATAGATTCACAATCGTATGCTTAATTGAACTATTATAGTATCTTATTCTTGCGGCGATGCTCTGGAAACTGGAAAGATGTTTTATTTCGTATTATAAACAATTTATAAATAGATTTATGAAGAGCTCTCTGTCCCGATGTTGAAAATTTTCCACAGTTTATTAATCTTAAAATTTTGCGTTGTTGAGTTAGAAGGAAACGAAATAAAATAATGTATATTCTTCAATATAAATATACTTTTCGTTTATATCTTTGCTCTAAATTCTGTATACTATCCTAGGCATGAAAAACCTAGGACACAGAACAGGAAAACAATAGTACACATAACAGTAGCAGACAGTACAACAAACAGTAGCCTCAGAAATATTTTATGCTAGTTATTTACCCGCGCCTTCGCTCGCGTGAGCTTGTATTTAGGAACATCACTAAATACTGTTCCGTGCCTAATTTAGCGAAATTCGATAACTTTTAGAGTCACATCGGTCTCTGTGTATCTCAGACGTAGATGATTGGTATTGGTCATAGATATAATGTGGTACAGGAAGACGTGAATATACATATATACTTCTAGAAACACCTACTATTTTTATATCGGGCGTATCTTCCGATGTATCTATAAGAAAGGTAAATTGTCTTGAAATCAAAATTTATTATTATTATTTACGTTTTAATCTTTACATTCATTAATAGTTAAAGTTAATTTAGTTAAAAAAAATAATGATGAATTTCATGGTCTTCTATCAATTTACGGTATAATGTTTAGCTGAAATATTTCATTTCTATCATTGGTCCTATTTAATATTGATTGGCACCATAAAACAGATGTAGGTAATTTTTTTTTCGTTCGAGTATACTTCAAAATTTCATAAATGCAGTTCTATAATGATATCTACACATGGAATAAAACTAATGTTATGGATTTTATCACGTTTAATTTTATCTTTTTTTACGTGGGAATTTTAACGCATCTTCGGATGACAAATTCATAAAAACCCACGTAAAAGAACATATCATTCATGGGAAGCACCGAGGCTCCGGAAAGTCTAAAGTATGTCATGTTTAGTATGGCCCCAACGATGATATCGGATCTGATAGACAACAAATCCTTGCAATAGAACACCGCTTCCTACCAATGATGATTAGCGAGGTTATTGAGATTTTAAAAAACCATCCTAATTTTAATATGGAAGATGGCTGAGTGCTACCATTTGCTAAGGACCCCATAATTAATAAAATTAAATTCAAACTCAAGCATACTATTTTATAACATAATAACTATCACATCAGGTCGTCAAACACGTCAGTCCTCCCGTGACCATTGATCCTGTAAAATGCTCAAAACATTGGGAATTATAAAAGTTAAAATTAAACGTGATAAAATCTTTAACTTTTAACTTTAGTCACAGTGAAAATGCGTAGCATTACACTCATGAACGGGAGTAGAAAAATATTCGCCTTTTGTGGCGGTGAAAGAGAATCCGCTGCCTCATATCGTTCCGTCGTTAGAGGCGACATAGAAAAACAAATAGGAGATGGGCAGCATCATCTTCCTGACCACAGATTAAAATAATAATAGCTGTGGTTGCCAACCCGCCTACCAAGACTGGCAACTATAGCAAACATCCAGCTACTTGATAATTTACGATAATGAGTGCAGCTACTGACGATAATGAGTTCTACTCATCTTTGCAACCCTTAATATTTACGGTAGAGCGAAAACAAAAAAGTAGTATACCCGTAAATATGAATGAAATAAAAACTGCATATATTGCCCATGAAAAGTAAAAAAGTAGCAGGTTACATACATGTTACTACTGGGCACAGACCGCAGAGTTTTTGGCCAAAAAAGTGTTCGCTTTGCTGATTCTAGCATTCTATTATTTAATTTTATCAGTGACTTACCATTTTAGTTTAATTATTAGATCAAATAATGAAAACCAAAACTATACGATCTAGTAATATCACTAATAGAAGCGAACATTTATTTATAATATCAATAAGGGATAAAGTGATGTCAATTCTGTTAAAAGTTCTGTTTCTGTTAAAAAATACGCTATTAGCATCGCTAGCGGTGAAAATATCATCAAATGACCATATTATGAAATAGCAACGTTGTTTGTTTTGTTGCTTAGTTATTAATATCTTCAAACGATTTCTATTCATTGATTTGGTCAAGCTATATCAGGATATGGTCAACGAATAGTGTTAAATATCATGAAATGACCACACCATTTCACGAAGTGATAGACTACTTTATGATATATGATTAATTCTACGATCTGGCCACGACATACATAAAAATCTACTTTTTCCATTTGAGGCAAGATGACGCTGTTTTGATAACAAAATCAGTGTAGTTTTAAATTATTTTACCAAAGTTATAACTTATATTTTAAACTTTATAAATATGGTATAGCCATATATAGCTCGAGCCGGGTTGGTACCACGACCTCACAGAATAGCGGCGTGAAGTAGAGGCTCTGCTTCTGCGTTTCGTCTGGTGAGTGCAGGAGGCCGGAGGCCCAATTCCCCCCCCCCCCCCATCAACATGGTAGCGGAATTACAAAGTAGACTACCCCAGGAGGGTACCAGTACCCCTGGAGAATCCCTCGCTGAGCATCCACGACCATGTTATTCCAATCCTGAGCGTGGGTGCTCAGGCTGCCCCGCGTATTCTGGGGGGGGCAAAATTCCGCTCAAAAACAAAACTGCTTGGGGCAAACTGAGCAACAATACCAAGGCGGCCCCTGCCACGCTATCCGTGAATTTCTGCAACATCAGGGGACTTCACTCTAACCTAAACGCCGTCCACTACCATCTCGAGACGGCGAAGCCGGCCTTGCT